ACAAATGTTCTTGACGATCCTTTTGAAATAACTATGGTTAAAGTATTTAAGAAATTAAAATTAAAGGAAAAGGTGAAGAAAATTAAATAGATGAGAAAATTTCACAAAGTAGAATATAGAATGTATAAGACTGACACAGCATAGAACTGAAAGTATTACATATCTGATATGAAGAACTATAGTTGGTTTAACAGCAGAATGGAAACAACCAAAGATAAAAGCACTGAACAAGAATATATCCAGACTGGGCATGATGGCTCATGCCTATAATCTCAGCACTTTGGGAGGCTGAGGCGGGTGGATCACTTGAGGTCAGAAGTTCGAGACCAGCCTGACCAACATGGTGAAAACTGTCTCTACTGAAAATACAAACATTAGCCAGGCGTGGTGATGGAGACCTGTAATCCCAGTTACTCAGGAGGCTGAGACAGGATAATTGCTTGAACCTGGGAGGCAGAGGTTGCAGTGAGCCGAGATCGTGCCACTGCACTCCAGCCTGGGTGACAGAGCAAGGTTCTTTAAAAAAAAAAAAAAAAAAAAGGATATATCCAAATGGAGAAAGGGAAGAAGAGATGGATGAAATGTATATAAAATTCAGAAAAAAAGTAGAGACAGAAGGGAAGCAGTTAAAATGTCTAACATAACTATAATTGAACTTTAAGAGGAGATAACAGATTGGGACAAAGCAATATTTGGAGGGGTAAAACTGATTATTTTCCAAAAGGGACAAAGACATTAAGCTATAAATTTAAGAACCTCAAACAGTATAAACAAAGAAGAAAAAAAAAACCGACACAGGCAAAAGTGCAAAAATATCTTTCTTAAAAAGAAAGAAGGAAAGAAAAAGACATGCAACCTTAATAGTAGCAATGGCAATATTGACAACTGAAGTTTCAATGATGAAAGGCAGGAGACAATGTAATAACATCTTTAAAGTACTGAAAGGAAATGCCAACCTTGGCTTTTATGGCTTGCAAATATATCCTAAAAATAAAGATGAAATGAAAACATTTTCAGACACACACGTACAAAAGCTGAGAGAATTTATCCGTAAGAAATCTGTACTGAAAGAAATTTAAAATGGAGTTCTTCAGCAGAAGGAAAGTTATATCCAATGGAAACACAGAAATTCAAGAAGACATAAAAATCAATGGTTAAGAAAACTAAATGGACAAAAATAAATGACTAGGGATTGAATGTTAATGATACAATACAATAATATTGTGTGGGGTTTAATTAGATATATAGAAATAAAAAGTATGAAAACTATAAGAGAAGAAGGGAGTGTGTAAATGGAATTAAAATGCTCTGAATTTATAACATTTTAAGGAAGAGTCAAAATTTCTATTTACAAAACACACATTTTAAAGGTAGTAATCATAAAGATTGCAAGAAAAAAAGGGAAAACATATAAAGTACACACAATAAACAAAAAAGCTTGAGTGTGTCAAAAGTTGATCTCAAAGAAGAATCATTATTTGAAACAAAGAGGACATTTCATAATGAATATATCACTTTTATTATAATTCCTGTATTTATAATGTCTTTCTTAAAACCCATGTAGCTGGATCCTGTTTCTTTAATTCAGTGTAACAACCTTTATTTTTTAATTGGACTGTTTAATCTATTTACATTTAATGTAAAATGTGATTGAAATTATGTGTAATATATCATATTAGTATTTGAAATCCAGGATTCTATTATAACAGTCCTAGAGAAACCAGATAAATCTACCACTGTCTTGTCAAATGGTCTAATCCAAGGTTATCCAACTTGCGGCCCATGGGCCACATGCAGTCCAGGACCGCTTTGAATGTAGCCCAACACAAATTTGTAAACTGTCTTAGAACATTATGAGATTTTTTTATTAACTTTTTTTTTTTTTTTTAGCTCATTAGTTATTGTTGGTGTATTTTTTATATGGCCCAAGAAAATTCTTCTTCTTCCCCAATGTGGCCCAAGGAAGCCAAAAGATTAGACACCTCTGGTCTAATCTCTCTGCACATTGACATCCCTCATTTGCTTCACTTTTGCCTCCAAGTTTTGCAATAGTGCAACAGACTACCAGAAACTAAGGCACATACAAGCACTGTAGATGCAAAAAGTCTGTACAGAAAAGCAGTCCAGAAAAGGTTCAGGTGGATATTGAGTGAATTAACATATGGGATTGACTATAAGCCAAGTAAAGGGAATGGGAAAGTAAGATATCAAAAAAGAGAGAAAAGCACCTTTCAAGATATATTGGCATACAGCCATGTGAGTAGAACCAAATTTCCGTGGCCTCCTTTCCTTCTTGTATTACAATTTAGAAACTTGGACTTAGGAGATTCACAATGCTTCTCTGTAATGTATAATAAAGTTTTGGGGAGTGTGTGTGTGCTTTGGGCACCTTGGTCAAATGACTTATCCTGCTAGGGCTCAGTTTTGTCATCTAAAATTCAGTATAATAATACATTACACAATTCATAGAACTGTTGTAAGGGTTAAATTAAATAAGACAAAGTACAGGCAAGGATGTAGTGTAGTCCTGAAACATGGAAGATATTTAACATGTGTTTCTGTTATCTGGCAACGATCATGAGAGTTTATAATAAGAAAGAGGACTTGGGACAAGTGATGTGCTTACTTACTTTACTTTCTTCAATTAGGAGTCAATCCTACTAGGCCAATAGCCAAAGGAAATGGTGAGCAGAACTTATGGTGGCACATTCATTCTTGACTCACATGTGAACACAATATAATTTCATGTCTCCTTGATAAAACTACTTTTCTACAGGGGAAAATAAAAGGCAGGTAGAGAGATTTCAGCCTACGGATGAAATACACAGTGTAACATGAGACAGCTGTTGCAGAGCCAACAAAAAAATAATATTCAGTTAAGTGAGTCACAGTTCCTTGAAATTGTATTCCATGCCCACAAATGCAGAAGGCTCCCTGAAGTTGGGTTATTATTATCTTTTTTTTTTAAGTTTCATTGAGGTATACGTTATATGCAATAAAAATAATCAATTTTAAGTATACAATTCAATGAGCTTTGGCGAATAACTGCAATGGTAACCAACATAATATAAAACAGAAACTAATCCTTTCCCTGACAACCTGGACCTTGGGCTAACTGATTTGCTTCTTGTCATGTTAGTTTTGCTTTTTCTAGAAAAAGATATCATACAATATATAATCTTGGTGGCTGGTACCTTTTATTTAGTAATGTTTCTCAACGTTTTGTGTTTGTTATGGTCCCTCTAATGAGTATTTTTCCCTAATTGTCTCTCCCCACTTAATGAAATTTTGCTACCACAGATAATCTATATGTCTATGTACTGTGTATACACCTGTGCTTTATACAGAGTAAGATTTTTTTTTTTTTTTTTTTTTTGAGGCGGAGTCTTCACTCTGTCGCCCAGGCTGGAGTGCAGTGGCACCATCTCGGCTCACTGCAAGCTCCGCCTCCCGGGTTCGCGCCATTCTCCTGCCTCAGCCTCCCGAGTAGCTGGGACTACAGGCGCCTGCCACCGCGCCCGGCTAATTTTTTGTATTTTAGTAGAGACGGGGTTTCACCGTATTAGCCAGGATGGTCTCGATCTCCTGACCTCGTGATCCACCCGCCTCGGCCTCCCAAAGTGCAGGGATTACAGGCGTGAGCCACCGCGCCCGGCCAAGATTTTTTTTTCACAGCTCAAAATGTTTTGCCCCTTACAAGGTGCTGTCACCCCATTGAGAATACATGATTTAGTGTAATGTTTTTGAGATTCATCAGTATTGTGTATATCAGAAGTTGGTTCGTTTTATTGCTGGGTAATATTCCATTATACAAAGAGACATTCAATAAATGAATAAGAATAATTGAATATGTGTTACGAAGGTCAGGGAGTGAGTGCATAATGCAATTACTGTTCTTTCTCAAATCTTAGTCTCCCTGGTGTTAGTAGACATACCTCTAATAACACAATTGTTCAAGTCAAAAATCTGAGAGTATCAAGACACTTCATTTTGCCTCATTTCCCCATATCAAAACCATTAAAGCCTGCCAATTTCATCTCTTGATTATTGCTTGAATCTTGTCTCAAGGGATCAGATTTTGCCACTGTAACCCAGAACATTCCAGACATGTAAGGCTATCAATCTTTATCTTAGAAGAGATGGGAAGCCATTGAAGGGATTTAGATAGGAAACTGACATGACTTTCTCGTGAAATTAAAAGATTACTAAATCTTTTATAGCAAGCAATGAATAAGAATATGGAGAATGAATTAGAAAGGACTGAGAGTATTTATGGAGCGGATCTTTCAGGAGTCCAGGGGATAAATGACGATGGCTCTGTCATGAATTTTCAAGTCCTTTGAGAGTAGATGAGAGATTGGGAGACATGCTGTATTTTCAGTGGGGCCCATGGGAAGGCTTAGCAAGGCCTCATTGCTGGATGATCACATAATTATAATGAGAAATTCAGGTAAACCTTCCTATTGCCTGCTGCTGCCTTGACTTAGATGATATTTTTGGTCAAATTAATCAGTATTCTAAATGAATTAAGTATGAATATTCTTGGGTTATTTGCTAATAAGTAAGAAAGAATTAGAGAATTATAATCATGCCCATAAGAAAAAAAAATTGTATACTTCATGAATCCGTCGATCTTTCTATCCATCTTACAACTTTTTAAAGGGTTACTGTAGTACTAGTATCCAAGTATCAGCTCCAGATGGTCTGCAATCCTCCTGAAGTTTTATGTAAATTGTCTTATCTACATACACATCTCTGGGGGGCAACTTGAAGATTAAAATTCGATTTTTATTCCTATTAAAGAGTAAGAATCAATGGCTTCCTGTGCTTTAGGTTTAGGGTATGCAAACATTCATAGGACATAATCTTCATTCTTAAAGCATGTAAAGTTTATATCATGTAAGCAGATAAATGACAAAGTCACATTGTCAGTGCTAGAAAAGAGATAGGAACAAAGTTCTGAAAGCTTGTCAGTTACTCTGGTGCTTTGTCTCCTCCAGGTGACTTCCCAAGTATGCCTGGCCACAATACCTCCAGGAATTCCTCTTGCGATCCTTTAGTGACATCCCACTTAATCAGCCTCTACTTCATAGTGCTCATTGGAGGGCTGGTGGGTGTCATTTCCATTCTGTTCCTGCTGGTGAAAATGAACACCCGGTCAGTGACCACCATGGCGGTCATTAACTTGGTGGTGGTCCACAGCGTTTTTCTGCTGACAGTGCCATTTCGCTTGACCTACTTCATCAAGGAGACTTGGATATTTGGGCTGCCCTTCTGCAGATTCGTGAGTGCCATGCTGCACATCCACATGTATCTCACATTCCTGTTCTATGTGGTGATCCTGGTCACCAGGTACCTCATCTTCTTCAAGCGCAAAGACAAAGTGGAATTCTACAGAAAACTGCATGCTGTGGCTGCCAGTGCTGGCCTGTGGACGCTGGTGATTGTCATTGTGGTACCCCTGGTTGTCTCCCGGTATGGAATTCACGAGGAATACAATGAAAAGGACTGTTTTAAATTTCACAAAGAGCTTGCTTACACGTATGTGAAAGTCATCAACTATATGATAGTCATTTTTGTCATAGCCATTGCTGTGATTCTTTTGGTCTTCCAGGTCTTCATCATTATGTTGATGGTGCAGAAGCTACGCCACTCCTTACTATCCCACCAGGAGTTCTGGGCTCAGCTGAAAAACCTATTTTTTATAGGAGTCATCCTTGTTTGTTTCCTTCCCTACCAGTTCTTTAGGATCTATTACCTGAATGTTGTGACGCACTCCAATACCTGTAACAGCAAGATTGCATGTTATAACGAAATCTTCTTGAGTGTAACAGCGATTAGCTGCTGTGATTTGCTTCTCTTTGTCTTTGGGGGAAGCCATTGGTTTAAGCAAAAGATAATTGACTTATGGAATTGTGTTTTGTGCCGTTAGCCACAAACTACAGTATTCATATTTGCTTCCTTTATATTGGGAATAAAAATCGGTATGGGGAGGTAAGAATGGTATTTCATTACTTAATCAAAACCATGCCTTGATCTACACAAAATGAAAGAACTATAAAATGTCAGAGCCTTCATTGTAGTCCTTGTGGGATCCCTGCCATCTCTGAGTGATGCCCATACAAAGACCAGTGATGTTGATTCCACCTGGAGTTGCAATATTACATTATTTTCCAATACAGAATGTCTGCGTGGCCCATTAAAGCAACATAGGTCTTAAGAATTTTGGAGTTTCATTAGCTCATTCTAATTTCCTCTGAAGCATGATCTTTTCTTAGGTTTTGGACTGAACTCAGCCCTTTAGTTCTTTTCATCCCACTTCATCTTAGGTAAGTAAATCCTGACCACCACCCAGCTCCAAAGACACAAACTCTCCTTGGCTAACCAGGTTAGATGTCCCATTCATCTCACACCCTGATGAAAACTGATAAGGGGAGAGAATAGTTAAAAATTTTTCTAGGGTATCATAACTCTGGTGGGAAGTCATCTGTCTAGAAATCAAGAGACAAAGAACGTGTGGCCTTCTGTTTTAACAAGGTTTTCTAGATTTGTCCTGTGAAAGGTCATTTCACGACATGGGGATCAATTTCCTCAATATCACCAATTGCACTGTTGCTCCAAAAATCATTTAAAAGCTTACTGGACATATCTACATAATGGTGAAACTGTAATTTAGAAAATATTCTTGACCAATGTGCTGGTAGGCATTAAAATGAGTTCCCAAGGGAAGTGATTAAAATTTTTTTCTCTTCTGTTTTTTGAGAGAATTTCTAGATGTCCTGGGCCACAGTAAATTAAGATTTTTACGGGGGACAGAAAGTTATACTGAAATCTTTAGAGCTCCCTTCCACCGTTAAAATTATAGATATATATATATTTTAAATTATACCTTAAGTTCTGGGGTACATGTGCAGAATGTGCAGATTTGTTACATAGGTTTACATGTGCCATGGTGGTTTGCTGCACCTATCAACCCATCTACATTAGGTATTTCTCCTAATGCTCCCCCTCCTCTAGCCCCCTACCCCTGGACAGGCCCCAGTGTGTGATGTTCCCCTCCCTGTGTCCATATGTTCTCATTGTTCGACTCCCACTTATGAGTGAGAACATGCGGTGTTTGCTTTTCTGTTCTTGTGTTAGTTTGTTGAGAATGATGGTTTCCAGGTTAAAATTATATATTTTTAAATAAACGAAAACTATGTTTTTAAAAGAGAACTTTTGAGAAGTATATAGCAAAACCATTAATTTAGACTCTGTGAGATTAGGTTGCATGAAGAAGGTTTTCTGAATATTTGAAGAATGGATAAATAAATGTATTCGAAAGTAATAAAAGTATAATCCTTTAAAATATAGGAAAAATAACTAATGGGTACTAGGCTTAATACTTTAGGATGAAATAATCTGTACAACAAACTCCCATGACACATGTTTACATATGTAACAAACCCGCGCATGTACCCCTGAACTTAAAATAAAAGTTTAAAGTAATAATAATAAAATAATTTGGATTTTCTTTCCAAATTCTGAGTTACTTTCTGTAAAATTGTATTAATGACTTGTGACATGTGGCATGTTAAACTGACTTTATTTCAAAAACTTCCATTACTGGCTAGGTTGATACATTGGCTTGTGGATTTTTGCTTTTTGGGTTTTTTTTACCTCCTGCCCATACTCTACTATCTTCAATGTTTTATCTCCTTAAAAATTTCCCAGGATCTGATCCAGTTTCATATTTAATGCTTCAGAAAACCTAGAGTAATTAGTAACATGAATAGAATAACATAATGAATTAAGGGACCTTTTTTTTCATCAAGATATATCTTCAGGATTTAAAAGTTTTTCTTAATTTATTATCACTCTGTGGATCCACAGATTCCTCAGATGAATAAGAAATACCTCTGTGAATTTCTGTGACAACTAAAATTAGTGAGCCACAGAAATTAATTTGAGGAAGCAGAAGTAGCAACATAGTTCAAACACGACTTGTTTCCATATATTTTCTGTTTTATATATTCTTTTAAATGTCCTTTTAAAAAAGTAATATTTATTTTCTTTCTTGCCTTTTTTCCCATTTATTTTTTACATTTTTTCTCTCTCATTTTGGACCATAAAATTTATAAGACAATTACTAAGACCCCTGATAGTTTTAAGAAAATTTATAATACCTGTAAATATGTAAAAAAAATAAATTTAGAAAATATTTAAATTAAAAGTATTCATTAGAATTTCATTACCTTGTAGATTATATCATACTCTCTTCCACATTTTATATATGTTGAGGTCAGGCAATTCAAAGGAATTAATCTCTGTATTAATCTGTTATAATGTTAACATAACACTATGTTATTTTCATACATTATAATAAAGGGCTTATTACAAATGTTACTCAAAATATAGAAATGCAATATTTCATAATATAAAATATCTTTTTCATCAGTATTTACAGAGTAAATAGAAAAATTTTAGTTTTCCTGTTCTTTGTCTTTAGTCAATACAGAAATGAACCTCATGTGGGATTGGGGGTGACATTGGCCTCTAGGGCCATTTTTGGATATCACCATTATAAGAGAGCACTAGTATTAGCATTTGGTGGTGGGAGCCAAGGAATAGACATCCTGCCTTGCACATAATTGTCCGTACAATAAAGAACCATCAGGCCTTGCTCTCTATTTGAATGCCCTATTAGATATTAATGAAGTGAAACAAAACCATCAGAGCAGTTACCAGGTTTTACCCAGTTTTCACAAACACATAGTATTTTTTTGTATAGCTTTAATTCTCTGAATTTTCTGGAAATGCAATTATCATGGATTGAAGAAAGATTTTACTTTGGTTTCCTCTGAACTTTACCAAGAGTTGTTCAGTCCTTTGGAAATGACATAAGTAGCAATGCCATTTATGACATTAAAATATGACACAACATGCCTGTAGGCAGTATTTGTAGCTGTTGTATTCAGGGAATATTACATACAGGTGTCAGCATCAGACTCACTCATTTTGTCTCTTTATGTGGTGATGCCTAAGCATTTACACACTGAATTATATACTAGTATTGATAACTTTTCATTACTCATTTATATTACAGTGAGAACATTATATGTAAAAATAATGTGTATATTTACATTATTAGTGTAGAAAGTATATACATTTCATTCCGAAATGGTAAAATTATCTGTAAGTTTTATTTTAGAATGGTAAAAGTATTATCAAATATTTGTGATAAAAAGCAAAGTATTGGGTCTGAGAAAGCTGAGAACCACTAAATTACCACAAAGGGACAAAATAAGAGGGAAATTTATAAATTTTAACATTATAAACAGGAAAAATATTTCTGTTTCTGAGATACTTACCTCATCTTCATTCAATTCTAAATTACTTCTTTTGTTTCTAAAGCAATTAAATGCAACTTTTAGAAAAATGTGAAGAAAATATACATGTGTATTTTCTTTTTTAATGAGAAAAATACATTTTTTTCTGAGCCTCACCACTCTCAGATTGGCTCTTGATCAACATCTACCAGATTTTTAACCCAGGCATAATAATTTTTGAGGTCCAGGCAGAAAGATCTCTTCAGGCACCCATTAAAAGGGACAGTATATGCTCTTATTTATTCCTTAATTTTCCTGTGACAGGATCATTGAGTCCGCTGCCTTCCTCCCCAGCGTCATTTAAATTCGGGATAAAAAGATTGTTTCACTTGTAGGTGAAATGAACTTTTTGTAAAGTGATTCAAGAGGTGCTAATGAATCCCTCCTGCCTCCCCAAATCCTCCTCAATGAAGCTGCCATGAAAACACGATTGTTGGGTTAAGATTCAGTTTTTCTGAAGGAGGGTATTGGGCCAATCCATTCTCAGTCACTGGTTTTTGGTGTGAAGTTAGAATTTGGGACGCTGTCATAGCTTTGATTGGATAGATTTTGCCCACTTTCCTCTATGAGACAGACAGAGGCCAAAGACTCTCACACCTATTGGGGCAGGAACAAGGAAGCTCTTCTTGTTATAGGGGCCAACTACAGCATTTTGTAAATACTTGGTACTGAGAGCTCCATGGTAAAGGGGCACAGGGATGGCAGAACTGCGGGGATAATGCTCAGAGATTGCAACATGCCAAGGGACACCCATGGGGATTGGAAACCAGGGGAATCTGAAGACCCAGCAGGAGCTGCTGGGGAAATGAGACCCAGGACTGAGAACCGCTAGCTGAGAGCAGGAGGGGCTTGTGGGAGTCTTGCTCAGGAGTTCTGAGCAAACAGGACTGTTCTTGAAAAACAGAGCAATGGAGGCAGCAAACAAAGAAGACAGTTTTGAACAGGAGGTAAGAAGGTGCTGGAGAGTGAGGTTTGTTTTATTTGCAGTTTGTCCTAATCGTTTATGTCATTAGCAATGAATGATTCCTGCCCTTTGTTGTTGATCTGGGCCACAGAGCTCATGGAGGACAGGGTGTGGTTACAAAAATGTAACCACTGGCAACCTGATCAGAGATTTTGGATAAAGATCTCCAGCTCATCCCTAAGTCAAGTAAGAAAAGAATCCCTTGGATTTAGAAGAGTCAGAAGAGTTTCCCTTCTGTTTTCAGGAAAGCATCATCTTACATGTCAAGAGTAGACACTTGCCAAAGTCTACACCTGCCTTCTGGCACCCTCAGGAGGGTCTGGAAAGACATCTAGGCCCCCTCTCCAGTGATGTTCAATTCTGTATAACACAGCACACCTCTTACCACAGCCCAGTTGGGTACCCCATTCTCTGAGTTGTCCTTTGCCTCTCAGAATTCCATTATTTTCATAGCATTGTGCTTAACAATGGCGCACACTACTGACCTGTACACTTAAGAATGCCTAAGATAGTTGATTTCATGTCATGCATATTTACCACAATAAACAATTTTTTAAATTAGAAGATATATATATCATATATATATTTAGTTATATATATAACATTTCTAAATATATATATGTATATATTTAGAAACTTTAATAGGCAAGAACTGAGCTGATGGAGAAAGTTAAAATATTAGAAAGAAAAAAGCTAGTCTGAGATGTAAAAAGAGTTCAGTCCTCCTATCAAGGGACTACCTATA